CTGGGGATAATGGCTCCGTCCTCCTTGGGCAGAGGAAGAACACTGCCGGGGTGGGTGAGATAGGTGAGCCCATTGCCCATCCTCCAAGAGCAGGCACGTCATATCTCTGGAGGGTGGGATTGCTCTAAGCGTTTCTATTCCTGTGCCCCCTGCTTGGCTGGCATTTCTCCTGTTGTCAGCAACAGCTGGGGTGACGCCACTAGCTATTTATTTAAAAGGATGGAAATACAAGATGCCCCTGATTCCCAGGCCAGAGGCTAGAAGGGCTGAGGTGGTGGGTGATACCCACAGAATATGCAGTATGAAAGCTCCTTCATATAGGGCACAGGGGCACTTAGGTGGGGATTGATTGCAGAGTTCCAGGTATCTGGCCAAAGAAGCATCCGATTGCACCTTACATTCTCATTTTCACGAAGTTTGTCAAGCCATGGAAGAAAATTTAGAGGAGCAATCATTTAGCTTCTTAGCAGTCAGTCAACTGATCAGCATGAACAAATGTTTGCATCAAAATTAGCTGTACGTGTGTTTCTGAGATTCTGGAAGTAATATAATCTAGTTTTGGTGGGTACGTGGTTTCTTCCTTGGTGGTTACTTGATTGGGACATTGTTTTCTGCCTGATTGTTTGTCTGGTGTTGATAATTCCTTATCTGAATGTGGGTCGCTAGAAGGCATGTGCTCTAATTTCTTTTCTTCGAAGTTTTTTTTTAATACTCTCTTTTAGGTTTTTTTTAAAAAAGTTTCTCTTTTGAACAACTAACTGCACACTCTCTTGCACTAATGAAGTTGCCTAGTTGGGTAATGAAATATCTACAAGCAAAAAAACAGGCTCGGGTCCTGCCAAGAATTCCACAGTTCAACCCTGAGCTACAGATATTCTCTTTCTTTGGGATAATGGTATACTACCATTACATTTTATAATTCAGAGTACCCGCAAGCTGGCAAGTGTCCTGATCTTGCATTTAAACAACACATATTTTCATGGAGACATGTCAGAAGCCGGGCAATACCGTAAAAATAAAACACTTTATTAAAACACCGTAAGTAAAACACATTACTTACCGTACAGTAGTAATGTATTGAATCTTGTGTGCGTTCCCATTTATGGTAAAATATTGTTCAGAATTATTCCTGAACAATATTTTACCATAAATGGGGAGGCACACAAGATTCAATACATTACTACTGTACGATAAGTAAGAAATATCCAGAAGCAAGTTGAGTTTTCAGGAGTTTGGGCCTAAAGACAATGACCACAAGAAATCAGGTATCATTCATGAGCAGTGCTGGGTCACAAAACTAAGGCTTCTTGCAACTAGAATTATAATGGTCTTAAATGTGTCTGTTCTGTTTCTTTGGCTGTGTTATGTGCCTGGAATACTTGCTTGATTATCCTAATTAAAGTCAATCCTCAACTTATGACCAGTTGTTTTAGACTGTGTGAAGGCATGACTGCCATGAAATGACCCTTTATGGCCCTTAAAGCACCACCAGCTGTGGTAAATGCATATAATGCTCCACCTATGATCACATGGCCATATGTCAGGCACGTCAGCTTTACCCACCTGCTATGGTATTCCATAGTAATGTGACCATGATTCGCCATGTTTTTTGCCAGTTTTTGGCTTATTTGGGGGAGTCAAATTCTATCTAAAAATACCCACTGGGTTTGCTTGATGACCATGGCATTTGCTTAATAAGTAACATGAAAAGGCCAGAAAATTATTCCTGACCTTATGGGTTGCTTTGACTTATGACTAGATTTCCAGTCCCAATTACAGTTGTAAATTGAGGACTGTCTGTATGGTATGCTAGATGATCTGCTGTTTATATCCCTTAATTCTTCTTTTGCTATTCCTATCTGATTTATTACTGTAATCCATGTTCCGGTCATTATACTGCCATTTCTCCTCAGAGAAGGACAGTGTAATTCTACAACAGGTCATCTAAATTGTAATGGTTAAGGTAGCAGGCTAGAAACTTAAAAGACCATTATTTCTAGTCCTACTTTAGGTACAAAGCCACCTGGGTAACCTTGAGCCAGTCATTCTCTCTCAGGAAGGAGGCAAGGGCAAAATACTTCTGAAAATCTTGACAGGAAAACTGAAGGGACTCATCCAGGCAGACACTAAGACTTGAAGGCACAAAAGGAAAAGTGACAACGTTAGCAATCATAATTTATTACACCAATATGTTGTCTAGCTGTTCACGACTCTGGGTGGCTCATAACAATCAAAGAAATTACAATAAAATCAACAAAACCTGATGATAGAAGGGTAAAAGAGACCAATCTATCTCATTGAAGGCTGGCTGAAGAGCCAGATCTTCACAGCTCTTCTAAATAGCAACAGAGCGAGCACCATCTGAATCTCAATGAAGACCATCCAGATGTTTATACAGAAACTCTGTTCTTGGAGACATCATATTTCTTATCAGTATAGACTGGCCAACCCAATAGAAAAGTCAGACCTCCGAGGTAAACTAGATAGGAATCACGATTAAATGAATTAAATTTATTTTATTGTAAGGTGATATTAACAGACGCTTGCAAATCTGAAAGTACAAATTCCATTTAACTGCTTGCTCCATTAGGGTGGGCCCTTCCTTAGTTTCATTCATTTGGCCATTTAGTGATGGGGGCTCCTTTCCCCTCTTCTCCTACTTGTTTCCTACTTCTTTCTCTCCTTCTCTCAAAGTCATCTATGCGTTCCATTACAGCTGGTAAAGGGGGCTTAAAAAGTCATTGTGAATATTTTTTTAAAAAAATATTGAGAACTGAAGGAAATCCTTAGGTTTGAGAACCAAGGCAGACCTCTATTCTGCTTGAGGCATACCAGGAGCCAACGGCCAAATTAAACTTGAAACTAGTTTTGTTTTGTTTTTTTCAATCCTGGCCACTTTAAGATGTGTGGACTTCAATTCCCAGCATCCCCAGCCATCATGCTGGCTAGGAAATAAAGTCTACACATCTTAAAATGGCCAGGGTTGAAAAACACTGCTCTGAAGCAATTATTAGAGGTGAGATCTTTGAAAATGAAAGTTAGCAGGTCTTTTCCCTTTCCCAGCCTCCCTACCATGTTCAAAGGTCTCTTATGGGCAAGCTCCTTCCCCCCCCCCCCTCAATTCCCATTTTCATTAAATGCAACTCATGATGGCTCGGCTTGGCTCAACTCATGATGGAAGATGTATTCCTAATGTAGGGAATAATCAGAGGTGCAGTTATACCTTCAATACATTCAAATTTCAGGCCAGCCTGAGCTTTAAGTAGGTAACGCACTGACAGAAGTGAGCTATTTTCTGAGTACTTTTTGCTCTGTGCCATATTAAAAATAATCAACCGGGGAAGAACATGTGCAGTCTTGACTCCTGGGTTCTCTATGAGATGCCATTCTGATTTTTTAATTGAAACATGAACATGCATAAATGTATTATAATGTATAGCTTATGTATATGTATGTGCATGGTGGTGGATGAATGGGTTGGGCTACCTTTGGATCAAAAACATAACCATCACTACTCTCAAGGATCCCCAGACTTGGATATGTGTAAACCTTCAATCCTTAACTTTGCAGGGCTGCTAGAATCAAACTCAGCCAAAATCTCTCACACATTTATCAGGGTGAAGTTCAATAACAATCTTTATTGCAAACTAGCTGAAGTCATATTAAACACTTGACTACGCTTTATTGACATTTGATTGATACTGTAATTTAAAGCCATCACTTCTTCCCATTTTTCCCATCTTTTAATATTTTCCCTGCACTTCATGGTTTTGGAGAAGCTCAGTGGTTATTGGTGGTTGACATAACTGACAGCTCTGACATGAAAGTCCTGGTTGCTGGTGTCTCTCCTACAACCATTGATTTTTCTACAGTCTCCCTATAGCAACATCACCACACATGCATTATATTGGAATTCTGTTGGAAGATCTTCATCTTGTCATCCATGGAATGGTTAAATTTTATGAACATATTACTTACTCCACATTTACTAGAATATGCTACAAGGTAAAAGTTGGCTCTAATTAAGTGTTGGGGCTGGAGATTTTAAATAATTAAGAAGCTGCTTTAGGTCAGATGAAACCACTGACCTTTCTAGATACATTTTTTAAAATCCAGACTGGAACTGCAGGCTTGCAAAATTTGGGGCAGGACTTTGTCCAGCCCTACCTGGAGATGCCACAAATTGGTACTCTGACCTTTTGCTACTGAGCTTTGCAGTCCATTTCCCGGTGTAATAAAATATAAAGTATACTTATAACATAAATTTTGCACCATAAAAGCAGCAGGAAACAACAAAGAAAATAGCAGGGAAAAGAAGTAATAGAGGGGTCTGACTTACACTGTTTTTCTTGTATTTCGCATAGGTATAAGGGTTTAAGCCAGTGTTTCCCAGCCCTGTCAACTTTAAGATGTGTGGACTTCAACTCCCAGAATTCCCCAGGCAGCCGTGGTGGCAGATAAAATCCACATATCTTAAAGTTGCCAAGGTTGAGCAACGTTGGTTCAATTCAACCAGCCATCAATAGTTGGATTTACAGTAGCCACTGTGTGCTAGTTGGGAATTCTGGGAAATGAATAACTAGTCCATTTGGAGAGTATATAATTTGCAGCATTATTGTGATGATATCAGGATGTTGATGATATCATTTGCTTTTCCTACAGACCCCCACCATATCAGGCTGAGGAGTTTAGAGGAAGCTGGGCTAAATTGTTCTCTTATTGAGCAGGAGATGCCAGGGGAAGGGGAAAAGTAAAACTAAGGCTTAAATAATAGGGACATCATGACCCCCAAATCCTCAGAATGTAAGACACGAAGACAAGTAAACTTCAAAAGTCAAACAAATGCATAGTTTCATTATCTAGTGATATGAAGATGCAAAGAATGAAATAAGGTCTGGGGGTCCCATTAAGGAAGGGGTTGGGATAGCTGAGCCTCCAACCCAAAAGTACCAAATTCTTCCTGTCTTTTAAAATGACACACCAATGCCGGTCCTACCTACCAGAACGAAATCTTCTTCGAATGAGCATGGATTGCTCAGATGCCAGAAGCGTCATCTTTGGCTGCTTTCAGAGCTACAGGTCCCAACGTGAAAAGTTTGGCAACACTGGTGGCAGGAGAAAAGAAAAAAGTGAGAAGGTGGTAGCAGTGGTGTGGTGGTGGAGGAGGAAGAAAGGAGGAAGAAAGGAGGAAGGAGGAGGAGGAAGAAAAGAAGAAGAGGAAGAGGAGGAGATGAGAAAGAGGAAGAGGAAGAGGAGGAAGAAAGGAGAAAGAAAGGAGGAAGGAAGGAAGAAAGAAAGAAAGGAGGAAGGAGGCGGAGGAAGAAAAGAAGAAGGAGAAGGAAGAAAGGAGGAAGAAGAAAAGAAGAAGAAGAAGAAGAAGAAGAAGAAGAGGAGGAGGAGGAGGAGGAGGAGGAAGAAGAAGAAGAAGAAGAGTGGTGACAGGAGGTAATGGAAGAGTAGAAGGAGAATCAGCTAAAAGAAATAAAATGACAACAGGTTCTTAATCTCCTCAGAAATTTCAGTAGGATCTTTTTTAGCAGAGGTCATGTGCCTGTAGTTTTTATTGTTTTGTATTCTCAATTGCCCTAGAAATGTTGAATTGAGACCTGCTGTAGAAATATTTTCAGTTGGCTGCCTACCTCTTGAGAGACTGTTGTGCAGATCCAAGAAGGAAAGTGGAAAGAATCACAAATGCCTGGTCCCAATGCAACGGTAAAGAAGCAAAGGTTGCTGTAAGGATACGATGGCAGCAGTGGGGGGAAGGACAAAACCACAACTGAGCAGCTGCACAACTGGCAGGAAAGCAGCAGGTGGAGAAAGGCCTCATTTAGGAGATGGCAATGGGGCCAATGGACTGGCGCCCTCTGCCACTCCCCCTCCCCATGGAAGGGGCTACATCAAAAGAATGATACAAGATTTGCCCCATCGGATAAACCAACACTTTTCACTCCCCACGGAATTCCCGCCTTTTTTTAAAAAAAAAGCTTTGAGGTATCAGAGCCCCCCCCTCCCCTCCCCATACACTTCGCTTAACTGGTCTATTGGTTTCACTGGGCAAAGTAAGGGAAGAAGAGGCAAGAAGAGCGGTTCAGATGAAAAGCGGGGGAGGAACGACGAAAGAAGTAGTGAGCTTCACCCAGCGGTGGAAACTTAGCGGGAGATGGGCTCCACCGGGTGAGATTCTGCCCCGCCTGGTGGAAAGCTTAGTGGGAAGCGACGGGTCGGCCTGTTCTCCGCTCGCTTTCGGGAAAGCCCGGCGGGGGATTTAGACAGCCCGAGGGGTGCCCGCCGGGCGCCCCCCCCCCGCCCCCCGCAGCAGCCCCTGCCCCGAGAAAGCGCTCAGGCTCACCGGAATGATCGACGAGAGAGCGCGGCCCTCCTTCTCCTGTGGCTGCCGCTGACTCGGGGGATGCCCCGACGGCTTTTCGGGGAGGGTTGGTCGGTCGGCGGCGGCGGCGGGAGGAGGGGGCGAGCGCGCTCCTACCTCTGCTCGCTGCCCAGGTGAGGCTGGCAGCGCCCGGCGAGCCCGGCGGCGCGGAGAGAGGCTGGCCCGACCGCTGTGCTCCCACCCCCGGCCGGCCCACCGCGCCCGGGGTCGGACAGACGCCACCGAGCACCCCCCCCCCCCCGGCCCCGGGCAGCTGAGATGGCCCCGCCCCCCCGCCCCCCCCCCCCCCCCCCGGCCCCGGGCAGCTGAGATGGCCCCGCGCCTCCGCCCCTCCCCGCCGATGCCACCTGCCGCGACACTCGACACCCGGAACGCGATGCTGGCTCAGCGGGACGGCCCCCTTTCCTCCTCCTGCGAGTCGCCCTCGCCCCTCTCTGGGCCCGGGGAGCCCCGCCGCTCCGCTGACTGCTCTCTGCACAGGCCCCGGGCAGAGCTGACCCGAGGGGAGCCCCGCAGGGTGGGAGGCATCTCTCCCGCGGGTTCCACCCTTCCCCCGGATTGCTCAATGCAGCCTTGGGACCTCCAGGGGTCCTGGGCCTTCGGTCCTTGGTGGGAGTGATGGGAAATGGGTATAGAGTATTGGCAGGCCACCAGGTGAGAGGATTCCCACCCTCCCTTCAGCACTGTTTTCCCAAGGAGTCCGGAAAAGTTTGTCTCTTAGTGTGCCTGATTACTGGTCTTTATAATGATTGCAAGATCACACTCCTAGGCATCCTCACACACCCCTCCCCGCAAGTTCCTGGAGCATGGCTGTCTGAACTAACTTTTTTTTTATTTTTTATTTATTTTATTTGGTTTGTCAATAACATAGTTATGAATACATATAAGAAAAATAAAAGAAACAGTAGGACAGGGACAGTAGGCATGTTGGTGCACTCATGCACGCCCCCTACAGACCTGGTAGGAATCATCAGATGTTGTTTTTGTCAAGTTTTTCTTATGAACCCCAAAATTCCCAGTAATCATCTCTCTCCTTGAAGCTTCTGGTCCTTTCCCAGAGAACCGGTATGGTTGTAATAGGTAAGGTGCTAGCTCAGAAACCAGGAGAACCGAGTTCTAGTTTGGCATGAAAGTTGGCTGGGTGATTTTGAGACAATCACCAGGAGTCTGTAGGTTCTGGTCCCCGCTGTAATTATACAGCGTTTGTATCCTGTGGAGGAATCGTCATAGCACAGAGTCCACATCCTGCCAGTGCAAAGTCCAATTTGCTCCTTTTTTGCATAATTATGTCATAAAAGTTCTAATTACTTTTTCCCTGCCATTAACACCGAAATAATTCTCCATTAAATCATTAAACCCACTTGGGTAAGTTTTGGCACCTCCCTCTCTCGCTCCCTCCCTCCCTCTCCCTCCCTCCCCCTCCCTCTCTCTCTCTCTCCCTCCTTCCCTACTTCTCCCTCTCTTCCCCTTCTCTCTCCCTCCTTCCCTCCCTCTCCCTC